TATAATTTTTTAAATATATTATAAGGCATTTACAAAGATTTTGTGAAATTCTCTCGAGTCATTACTCATGCGCAGTCTTTTCTCCATCTTTCCTTCATTCCACTTACAAAAGCTTGAATCTTACCTTGGAATCTCACTATCCCTGCCTCATTCTACCCATCGACTTTTTAGCCGCGTACATGTAGAAGGAGAGCTCCTATGGAAAAAGAAATACATTTTCTAAGATCAAAACTCATTACCTTCATCAATTTTAATTTATGTTTTTTTATTTATCACCAATTCATTTTCAATAGAATATTTAAATTTATATATCATACATAATTAGCTTCATAATTATTTTATGAATCCAAATTATTGCTCCAACTTTAGTTTGCTCTTCTAGATTTATTAATTGTTGAAATTCAAAATAATGTAAAATAATATTATGGATATGAAAAGGGGTTATAAATAACTCTTGAATCCTATAATAATAGGAAATGAAAAATATAGCAACTAATATCTCCAATAAGTCAATTCATAATAATTATTTGGAAATAAAGCAAACAACATAAAATATAAAATAAAAAAGGAAATAACTTCAATTTAAGGAAATAAATTTAATTCTCATAATTGCTAACATGTATAAATTTTGTTATAATATAAATTCTAACACTCACTCAAGTTGAAACGTGGTTGAAATTCATGTTCAACTTGGATTTAAAAACATCAAACAATGTGCGAGAAATATTCTTTGTGAGGTGTAGAACTTGATGTCTTTATCCCTTCCTTGATAATGAACCCCTTGAGCATTTATTTAACTGCGGTTAGGGGTGTCAAAAATTGGCCCAAAAATCAACACGACTCGAACTTGACTCTAAAAAATACGTGTTAGGGTTAATCTAAATATTTCTTAACTCGGGTTCAGTTTCGAGAATTCAACCCGTTTATTATTCAGGTTGGGTTTTGTTTGATCTAATTTAATTCTCGTCATTTTTTGGTCAATCCTGAACCCGACCTGTTGACCTAAATTAACATCCCGAGTTGTCAACAATTGACCTGACACCCCCAACATAATTTGAACTCAACTCGAAAAATTCGAGATATGGTTGACCCTAATATTTTTCGCTTCAGGTTTGGGTCAGGGAATTCAACTCGTTTATTATTCAAGTCGAGCTCATATTGACTCGATTCATGTTACGTTTCAAGTTCGGGTCAGAGAATTCGACTCGTTTATTATTCAAGTCGTGCTCAGATTGACTTGATTCAATTTAGTTCATATTCGGGTCGGACCTGACTCCGATATGCCTATCCAAAATGATATCCCCAACTGTGATTTTTTTTATTGCAGTTTTTGTATTGTTTGTAGATATGCGGAAGACTTCTACAGGTAATACTGCATGGTTGTTTGCTGGGAAGGAAATAACTAAAAGGAAAACAACAGAGTATGCCCTACTGAAAAAGAAGAGAAAAGTTTCTAAGGTAGGCCTTGCTGCAAGAAAAGACTCCGAAGGTGGGCTTGTTGCAAGAAGAATACCGATGGAGGATCTGCTACTTGAAAAACTTCGGAGGAGGGCCTCGTACAGGAAAATGTTATGGAATAGGGTCTGATGCAGAAAAAGGCTGTGATTGAGGGCTTGCTACAGGTAGAATTCCGGTGGAAAACCTTCTGCTTGAAAAAGTCTGGAGGAGAGCCTGATACATGAAAAAAGGCTTGGAGGAGGGCATGATGTAGTAAAGACTCAAGAGAAGGGTTTGTTGCAGGAAGAATTTTGGAGGACCTACTGTAGGAAAACTTCTGGGGGTGGGCTTGATGCAAGAAATAGTTCCGGAGGTGGCTTGCTGCAGGAAAAGCTCCTGATGAAGATTTGTTGCCGGAAATATTCTGGAAGAGGGCTTGTTGCAGGAAAATGGAGGGATCAGTAGAACGTGGCTGTGTTGTAGAGCAATTGGCAAAGCTCATTTTTTATACAACAAAGAACATTGCTCCAATGTCAGACATAAGCTCTTTCGAATTGTTCTTGTGCTGGCCAATTTTCCAATAAATTGAGTCTAGCGCTGGAGCAGTGTCAAGGTCATACTTAGTCTTGCTAGATTTTAGCCCAATTTCCTCCAATATATTGGCCAATACTTTCATTCACAGATTTTGAATTGGCCATAATTGGTTTGTGCATATTCAATTGAGAAGTAATGATCAGATGCGCCAGGTAAGGGCTTGTTAAGTTCTCCAACCAATGCCTCATTTCACATGTGCGTTGGAGAAGATTTTTGTATCTTTAAAAAATTAATTTTTAGTTTTTCTTCTGTGGCAACATAATTTGTTTCCAGCTTCCATGTTTCTCGGTTGGCTCCATTGTTGATTTTCTTAACTCTTATATTTTTCTCAAAATATTCTATTCGCTTCTGAGAATTCTCTCTCAGTGGTCCAAAAAAATTGCTTGACCCCCTTTTTTCAGCAAAAGTAACTCGTCCAAGGATTCAATTCAATGCTTGGTTGGTGGATGGTACAAACAACTGTTCTTTCCGTGTTGGCATTGTTTCTCATCGTTCTCATGCGAATGACAGCTGCTTTTGCATCAAGACCTGATGTTGGTTCAACCATGTTGAGTGGCTGTGGAGGGCTTGTAGAGGATGGGAACTGCCGGTAGATGTTTCAGTTGCTTACAAGAATTTTTAACACCTGCAGGAAGGAAATCTGGATGCAGCGAAAATGCTGCAGAAAGATGCGTCTCCACTATGGAAGCCTGCAAGAAGGAAGGGATTTTCTGTCAACCGTAGGAGAAGATTTCAGCGGCTGAATAATCTGCAGGGTGTAGTTTTGTTGGCGGGAAAGGATTTATGAGGGAGAGCATGTTGCAGGAGGCCTTGCAGGGGATAAATCTGGCTGCAGGAAGGTTTTCGGCTGTCTCGTAGAGAGATTGAGTAGGTTGGAGGGAGGTCCGATGCTCGAACATCTGCTAGAGGGATATGTGGTCGGCGGCCTTAAGAAAATCTGCCAAAGTTCTCCAGTGGAGAAAACCTGCAATAGTTTTCCACAGGACAAAAAAACCAGCTGGGAGAAAATCTGTCGGGAAGGAAACTGTTGGGATGATCTCTAATGGAGAAAGAGTTGCTGGAAGGCAACCTGGTGGGAAGATCTCCACGGGAAAGATCTCCTCGGGACACAGAATTGTTGGAAAAAAATCAGCTGGAAGGAGATTTAGTCTACTGAAAGGGGCGGGCCAGCTACAAGAGTTTTCCTTCAGGTATTTTCACGAGGAGGTTGAGGGAAGCCACACTGCATATGCTAGGGGATCCACGACCCTGCAGGAAGTTCCCGAGATATTCTTTTATGCGCTTGCAGGAAGTTCTCAGGAGATGCTTTCATGGGAGATTCATTTTCACCTGAAAGCGGAATAGTGTGTGATTGCCGTCCACAGTTGTCGACTCCAGCAGCTGGTTCCTGCATCGAAGGCCTGTGGCCGAAGACTTTAGACAGGCTTGGGGCCATCTGGGAAGGGATTTGGTGTTCACGACTACTAGAGAAGAAGCAGAAGCTGTCGTTTCAAGCTGAAATCTCAGTTGCAATAGTCGAGGCAAGAGAAAAGCATCCCTCCCTTCCCGCAAGGTGGATGGCGGGAAGGGAGTCAGATGGCTCTGGAAGGAGGTTCGCAGATGGCAGGGAATTTGACTCCGATACCATATTGAAATTGAGAATAATGCGGAATAATATTATTGTATCGAAAGGGGTTATAAATAACTCATACATGAATCCTAGAATAGAAAAGACATGAAAAAGGAAAAAAAACAAGAAAGAAAAGATATAACACCTAATCTCTTCAATTAATCTATTCATAATAATTTTTTGGAGATAAAAGAAACAACATAAAACATAAAATAGGAAAGAAAATAACTCCAATATGTGGAAATTAATTTAATCTTCATAACTTCTACCATGAATAAATTATTTCCTAATATAATATCTAACATTAATTATAAAAAATTTTAATACAAAAAATAAAAAATAGAAATTAACATCACATTAGTGTAATTTCAATACTAATAAACCATGAATAATAATGATCAAACTTTCATCCTTATAAATTATTTTTTAATTGTTTTTACTGAATACTATGTTGATTTTTGTTATAGTGGTGAATTATCAATATAATTTTAATAAGAGAAAGGCTGGGGCAAATTGAATTTAGGTGCTGGGTGTCAATGACATAAGTTGGGAAGAATTGCTTGATAGTTTATGAAAAAAGTGGTTAGATATCTTCTTATATTTAAATAATTTTTTGTGGTTTGAAGTTAATTTTTACATATGTAAATTGTATATTTGCTATGGGGAATCATTTTAGGTGCTGGACTCCCAAAGATTTGTTTAATATTTTCATTAAATATTGTTGAGCCCTGATGAAAGAGGTTATGAGAATTTTTGTAAAATTTTTTTTGTGCCTCCACTTCAAAAAGTTTCTAGCTTCGCCACTGTATATTATTAGCAACTGATGATAAACCTTCAGTATTTTTTGTGAATAACAAGTTTTCAGGTTGCTATTATTAGTATCTGAGATCTTTCGTTGTTGCTTTTTTTTTTGTTCTTCAATATTTGGATTATTCACTTTACAATTGCTACATATGTGTTTTATTTCCTTTCTTGTAACTCGAGAAATAGTTGCAGATTGGTTGCATGGCATATTACTCTGTGCATCATTCCTAATTCTTTCTCCCACTTTAACATGACTCTTAACTTTTTATTGTCATGCAAAAATTGAAGATAATGCGATTTAATTAAGTTAAATTTTTAAAACGAAACGGAATCTTCTCTTTCCATGATTTTCTGAATTGGCATGAACAAAACTATGTATCAAAGAACGAAGATTAAAAAAAAAGTTTTAGAACCTGGTAACAGCATGAACACTTTTTTTATTCTTGTTGCAAGTTCAATGAACTCTGCTGTCTCACTGATCTTGGAACCGTCATTCCTTTTGCATCTTCATATTGCACCTGCACTCTGCTGATGATGTTTTTTTCATTGGCTTTAGGAAGGAGATAAGGCTGTTGTTGATTTTGGGCAAAATGAAGGACGCAAGGAAATTTCAATAATTGAGGTAGTGTTCTTACCATCAACTTATGTAGTTAAATGATGGTTCCTCATCCTTTTCATGTGGATTCAGAAAATAGATCATCCTGAACAACCTCAACTAAAATGAATGATAATTATTCTCTAATTAATTTCATGTTGTAAGCTGATCTGGTTCTCCAGCAGAGAGTCCAGTTTTGCTGCATCTGTTGAATTTCAAGGCAAAGACCTTGTAAATATATGACTTGATTTATTGTATAAAAGACATTTACTATCCATTCAATTATTTTATATTTGTTTTCTTGAGTAGCTTATCATTTTTCGTAATTTTAAGCACTTAGTTTTATTTTTTTCTAAAGGTGATTAAATTTAGTAACATTTTTGTATAAATCTCTTCTCAGAGAATGACGTGTTAAGAGTAAATGTGTTTAAGGATGAACATTTGTCGTTGTTTCTCTCTCTTGCTCTCCCTCTTTCTCTCCCTCTATCCCCCTTCATCCCTTTTCTCTTTGCTTATGAACGACAACTTTTCTTCGGTTTCTTTCTTCGAAACACCCAACCTAATTATGCTTTTTCTTGTGTGTAAGAAATTATGGGCATAAACGCTTTTAGAAGTCACTATTCTATTGCTGGTGAAAATTTTGACAGTAAACATTTGCTAGTGGCTACATGCTGAAACGTGTATCAATAAATTTATTTATTTATTTATTTTTTGTGTTGCCATGTTGTTATAGACCAACAACTTTATCATCTACTGGACCAGTATTGGCTAGTTTAATTGACCTACTCCTTTAAAATAATTGCTACATGTTTAGTTTGCTTATTTGAGCTTTGAACTTTCGCCACATACAATAATTATTTTTTTGCAATGCGGGAGTTTTGCTTTTTGCATTAATCAATCTCCTGTATTCTCTACTTGCTTTTAGCTGTCAGCATGATAGGCCGAATTATTTTAGATAAGGAACCATGAGGGCATTGTTAGATTGAGTCGAGACGAGGTCCCAACACGATTATTCCATTTACGAGTTGAACCCATAGAGGTCATTCTGAAAAACCCATGTGGTCTAAAATCGAATCAAGCCACACTTTTAGAGTATATATTTGGTAGTTCCTGGTTGTACATGAATGCCTGTATTGATGGTTTCATATCTATTTGTTTGGTTGGAATCAAGTTGCTTATGTAATTTATGGCTCTCAAGGGTCTTGGCCCTACCATAATTTTTTAGTATTGTTAAGGAGTTGATGACTCCCAAATGCTTCATATGATTGAGTGGGCTTTTGATGCATGATATTCAATGAGTTTTTATTTGTGGGATGGTTAATATTAGGAGTAGACCTAGATTCTTTTGTATTCCACCAACAACCAACATAATGGGTGATAATAGCAACAACCACTTCACCTCTCTAATGGAGCAAGCATCATTTATCTGATCAAGCCTCATATGTAGGATAATAACCAGATAAACGCATCCCAACCATGGCCATAAAGTTGCTTTATTCACTGTAACGAAACATATTCTCTGGTATAACTCTTTCATCGATATATACAAACTGTACTACAGTTCTAATGGTAGGATGAAATAAATGCTATATTCACTCACTATTCTCCTTATATATATATTTTTTTACTTTATTTTTTATTTCACCTATAACAAATGCTGAGAATTGCTTTGTAGCTTGTTTATGTTTCTCACACCTAGTATGTATTATAACTATTTTCATCCAGGGGCATATAATTGATTTATTTGGATGGATCAATTCACAAATTGGTCAAACCGAATGAAGTCAAAATTTAAAATCCAAAAATTGAGCCAACTGTACTTTTGCCAAAACTGATCTAAACTGAATTGAAATTTAATTCCACTTAAAAGATTCGGTTTTTGAGCTAACCAAAATTTATTATTGAGCCTAAATTTATTTAAAATCTACATTCTATTTGAAGAGGTTTTCCTCATCATCTCTTTGTCGCTTTAATATATTGCATGATCAACGAAATGGCAGACATGTCACAGGGATCTGGTAATAGTCTATCTAGTTCAGTGAATTAAGTTTTAAAAATTAATATTTTTTGTTTTTTGATTTACCTGGTTTAACAAAGATCAACATTAATAAAAATTGAAAACCTAAGATTAAAATTAAAAAAAAAAACCGAGTCAAATCTTATTTCAAAATTGAGCCAAATCAAATATGCGATTGGTTTGGTTCGGTGTTTTTCGGTTTTGATTAAGTAATGCTTACTCTGTTGCCACCAACTTTAGTCACTCAAGAGATGTACAAAGCTATATGACTATGCCCTTCAAATGTTTTGGAATACTGCCCTCATATCAAAACACTGAAAAAAACAGAGGCTATTTTTACTAGCTGTAATCTTTCAGTGTAATCGCCCTTTTGTCCATCTCTCTGTTGCTTTAAAGATTTTCGGTCAGCCTCATTCCCCCTCAGGTTTCCTTAAATGTATCCAGCATCTTTTATTTTTTTATTTTTTCAATTTCATTCAAATGCTACAAATATTAAACTGCACTTGGTGAATTTATTTTCTTCTTAAATCTCCATCCTATCAGTGGCGGTACAAACAGAATGTCACCTATCAGTCCATTGTTTTCTAATTTGCTTCTCAATTCCAATCAAATATCAAGCCTTGCATGATGTTTTACTATCAGAAGTACACACTTGTCTGGGTTTTTTAACACTGCGGGAACTTGGGGCTACATTTTGTGCGTAGCACCACCAATTGGGACCTTGTTAGTTTTTTTTTAAGTAATAAAGGGATTCTTCTGTTAATTTATTATTTTTGCTTTGCTTTTCACAGAGCACCCATGCTATAATTTTGATGTGTGGGCAATGTACAAAGAGAATCCCAAGTTGCACCACTCTTTGCTTTCTGACCATGGAGAACACACTCCTTGAATAGCTCTTCTATCTGTATGGGTGTGATAATAATGTATTTTGAACAACACAACCTAACATAAACTAAATCATTCGAATATTCTTGCTGCCACATTTCTCTGACTAGTTCCATCGACGTTTGCTAGCAAGCTGTCTTAAAGAAGTCCGGATAGGATTTGTAAGCATTGAGACCTTTGCTGGACAGACAAACCTTAAAACATATAGTTGTTCTGCTTCCGTTATTAACCATCCATTTTGTTCACTCTTAAATTGATATTTTTAAGTGTATTTATTGGACAGGTGTCATTCCTTATGTGACATAGATTGCTGGTTAATTAGTTGATTTTCTCTGAAGCGTTCTGGTATTTTTATTATGGAAAGCCAAATTGATAAGCTTGCATTTGATTAAGCGAAGCTGTATAATGTGATAGCAAGGAAGAGACCCATCACCATGCCAAACATTCTCTATTTCCGCGCATCCTTATTTATGTTACAATTAATTAGAGAATGTTCACTATTTTTCAAAGTACTTTTCCTTCTTTTTTTGAAACTTGATAATTCTGAGACTCTTCTCTGTGAATTTTTTTTTTTTGGAATTTTTTAGGTCATAGATATAGAAGAGATGGCATGGGCTCCAAAATATGGCTTGAAAGGGATTATCGACGCTTCTTTACGTGTTAAGAAGGGTGCGAGTATTGGTGATTCAACGGAAACAATTATTCCATTAGAGTTTAAAACTGGGAAGGGAACGACTGGTCAGGTATTAATAGAGTATCTAACTTTTTTAATTAGCTTTTATCTGCACCTGATTTATAAATTCCTTTACAACTCTTTTAGTGAGAATTGACTATACTATCTTTATGGGCACTTCTTAGATTTTGTCCCAGTTTGTGTTACTCATTCTGATTTTCTGCATGTTTTTTTTTTTCTACATTTTTATTTCTTTAGATTTTTTTTGACAGCTATGCCTTGAGATTTGCTAACTTTAAGATTACTGGTTTTGATTTTCAGATATTTTCTCTTAATTAGGCAGTAAACAACTTTTTGGATTACTTTGCTAAAATTTTACACCATTTGATTGCCCTTTAGTGATCAGCTTCAACATTTGGTAAATCATGTGTTTTCTACTTTAAAATTGCAAACACACTATAGCAATGTCCACACTTCTTTCGCTCAAGGTTTTACCCTTGATCATTATTTTTATTATTTACTTTACTCTCCTTTTAAAAATAAAAATGTGTTTTTGAAAATTTATGTATTTATAAGTAATCTGATATATGTTTATAAGCAATCTGATATATACTTATAAGCAATCTGACAGTTGTTTATAAGGAATCTGATATATGTTTATAAACAATATGATATATGCTAATACATGTATCAATGACTTTTTCTAAATGAACTAATAATAATGTTTTATATGTATTATCTTTATTATACTTTTACTTTGTATATTACATACATATCTGTTTCTGTGAGGATCATCGTCAACAAACCTAACACCCCTGGCCGATATTGTTCCGTTGGCTTCTGTCGGTACAACAGTTAGCAATCTTTACATTGCTACCTTCTAGGGTGGAAAGACTCTCACCTTCCCCTGACTAATATTATCCCATCGGTACAGTGGTTAGTAATGTAAGCATTACATTTCTCTGGGGAGGTAAGCTCTTGCTTCCTTGTCGCTGACCGATATTATCCCGTTAGCACAAAGATTAGTAATCTAATCATCACAATTATTTGGGGTAGTAAAAAACTCTACACTTTCGGGTACACCAGCATACTCTACCTGTGTCATTAGTGGGTGAAATCCTCCACTAAATATGCACATGCAAGCATTTACATATAAGTTATTTCATTCTTCATACATACATTATTTTGAGACATTTTTATGCATATACTAATATGCATTTTTATTCAACTGTACAACTATTCATCAGACACATCTTTCATATCATTCATATATCTATCTGATGCATATTACTTACTTATATCATGCATATCGCTCCTACATGCCTATCTTATATGTCTATCTTACATATAATGTCTATCTAAATATTATTCATTTTAAACATATCTTTTTCTATTATGCTTATCATGCATATCTTTTTTAATCTAGAATATAAATGATCTGATTATACTAGGACATATATTAAGTCAAACATTTAATCTGAAATAAAAAAAATTACTGAAGTTTTGAAATGTAATTACTCACCTCTGTTGCCATACTAAACTCTTAATCTTCGATATCTAGTTGGAGGTTGCTACGACTTTTAAATTGAAATAAATAACCTATAAAATATAATATTTAAATTTTTTAGATTTAAACAATTTCTATTAATCAAATTAATTTTCTTAATTTAGGATTAATTTACTTGAAATTTACAAAGTTGCTTTACATTGAAAGTTCATAGTCTCTTCTCTAGCCTGCTGCCCCGTTAAGCAACCTAGAATATTCAATTAAGTTCAGATTTAAAGTTTAATAGTTAGATTTAATTTTTTTATATTTAAGTTCAGATTCATGAAACTATTTTTTAAATTGATTTTTTTTTCAAGTTTAATAGTTAGATTTAATTTTTTATGAATTGAAATATAATTACCTTAATAATAAATTTAATTAATTATAAAGTTGTTTGCATTAGAAAGAAACTATGTATGCTAAATTTTTAAATGCTAACATATGGAATTAATAATATCAACATTAAATTAAATTCTTTTTAACAGTTTTAAAGCTTCTTTTAAGGAGCCAACATCTTTGTCTCTAAAAAGTGCCCTTTTACTTATTGAAGGCATTTTCTCTGTATTTGAACATCTTCTGGCTTTGTTACGCTTCTTTTTAACTCCAAAAAAAATTTCAGGCAAGAAGCCTCTCGTCTTTGGTAACTTTTTCCTAATATTTTCTTGCCCTAGGCTACTCTCTTCAAATGCTATGCTATATTATAATCGCTTGTCAGAATCATTAATGATCTTTGTTAGGGTATATGGGTTTATCTTATGTAGATGTTTTTAGTTTAAATAGAGAAATATTGCACGCCTAGGATGCTAAGCATTTAATTTTTGGATTCCTTTTTTTTTTTTTTTTCAAAAATCGCACCCTTGTAATAAATTCTACATAGTCGCCAATGTTATTTTGTCTAAGTAAGCCATACTTCAGAGAGCCCTTTTATCGTTTCTCTACTCAATTGAAATGATACTAGCATGATTGAATCTGTCAGTGAACAATGTATCTAAAACTTCATGGGTATACTCTTCTACCTTTGTCTATTCTTTTCGAGTAAAAATCTTTAAAAGAAGGGGTGTTCCAAATCTAATATGCTCCAAAATACCTTCTTGGGGTTTGTTAATGAAGATTTGGTAATTCTTGATCATCCCGGTGAAAGAAAGCATTGGACTTTCAGTTATTTTTTTTAGAAATGATAATTAAAGCTGCACACAGCAAACTTGTAACCGTTGTCTCATTGCTTATCACTTGAGCATTTTAATTTTCTTTATTAAAATTTTCCATGAGTCTAAACTTTTTCTCTACTCCAAAAGTTTAGTTACGACATTCACAAGTCATGATGAATGGAGAAATTTTATGAGAGAGTAGAAGGATGTGTTTGAGAAAAAAATAACCCATGGAAGATTGTCAAGAAGCTTAAAGCAAGGAAATTTATATTATAAATGTTTTTTTTTTTACTTTGAAGATCATGATTGACTGCTCTTTTGATCGATGCAAAATATGTTTGGTTGCGACTTTTTATGCATATATGTGTTTGTGTGTGTGTGTGTGTAAATTTATGGTATAAGAAGATTGGAATTTAAAATAATGGAGAAAATGCTTAAAAGATAGAAAATTTATGTAATTTTAATAACTATGATATTAATATTTATCATTCAATATTAAGGTGATATCTTGGTATGATGTATTTAATTATTTTGGTTCTTCAATATAAAAGTTTGTATACAGATAATGTTATGGCTTTTAGAGATGAGGCTTGAATTGTTAAAGATTGAAGTGCTTTCGATGTTTTGTATGACAATAGTATATCATGGAGGCTTGTAGGTAAATTGATACCAGACTTTCACAATTTTCTTAAAGGGAAAACACATATTATTACTGAATTAAAATTTGAAATCACAACAAATAACAGTGGAAGTAAAAAATTATAACAAAACAGAAATACAACACCCGAAGAAGGGTTGATTCTAGGGTGTAGGGTTGTAATCGAGCTGAGCGTGAGCGAGCTCAAGATGGGCTCATGTTATGCTCGTTTGAAATTACTCGTGTTCAAAATCGGCTTGTGTTCGAAATTGGCTCGTGAACAGTGTGTTTGTGTTCAACCCAATTTAAATATTCTTGTTTGTGTTTGGCTTGAAATCTGCTCATTAAAATTAATTAAAAAAAATAGATGTAGGGTGTTTGATTCAAAAAATCATTAACTTCGTGCAATAGAAGGCTCATAATCACAACATCACAAGAGTTGTTATGATTTAAACTTAGATATAAATTTATATAATATATTAATATATAAATAATATGTATAATTTCTTTATCTCGAGCTGAAACGAGATGAACGCAAGTGATCAGAGAGTTGCTCGTTTTAGGATTGTTTATAGTTCAAACTTAAAAAATATGTTGTGTTCGACTCGTTTACTTAACGAACAAGCCGAACACGAGCTACTTAATGAGCGAAGCACGGGCTATGCGCGAACAACGAGCTTTTTTGACTGAACTACTAGGGTGGAGGCAGTGCCGACTAGGGGTTTGGACCTCCAGGGAGATGGTCGGGTGGGAGGGGGGTGGTCGTCTTGCTGGTTGTAAAGGGGGAGGCAGAGATGAGGGAATGTGGCGACAACAAAGGGGAGGTGGCGAGAAAGAAGAACAAATTTGGAGGTGTTTTTCAGGGTGGCAGCAATAAAAGAAAATAGGGGAATAACAAGTTTGCTGTTTTCTGGGGGCGACAGGAAGGGGAATGTGGTGAGGGTGAAAGGAGTCGATGTGGAAAAGGATGAGGAAGGTTATATGAATGATAAACATCACCAAGAGATCAAGTTATAGTCAAAGCATCACTTGTAATCCTAGGATACAACCCGTAAATGAAAAAGAGACGTCAATAGTTGTTCTAAAACAAAACGCCGTAAAGATTGAAAATCAATTCCTAATGCAACATATATTTGTCTTAAAACAAATGCCTAATTAGAAACTAGATAAATAGGCAAAAACTAAAAATGAATAATCAAAAGAAGGAAAGTTAAAAAAAAGGAAAGAAAATAAAAGTGAAATTGCCTAGGGTCGCTTCAGTTTGGGAGTCCCGTGATCGGCTCTCTGATATTGCAGGATCACATAAAGTGTGAAATACAAAGACTGCTCCCGCATTAAATTGCTGATTAGTTTGTTTTGTTGAATGAATTTAAGTTTTTTATTGTAAAAATTATTGATCTCTTATGCTGAGCTTGAAAAAATGAGAATGTTAAGATGACTGTGTGGAAAACTTTGGAATGGTGTATGAATGATGATTATATTGGAGGAGATCTAGAAGTGTCATCTATTAAAGATAATTCGGCAAAATAGAGGTGGGTTGAACCTACACAACAAATGTTTAAAGATGTGCTTGTAAAGCAAGTGGATAAAATGTCTACTAGAATCAGAAAAGAGAAGTGCTTGGTCTTATGATTACATGGATACAAGTAATTTAAAATGGTTTGCAGCAGTTTGTTTAATATTTTAGATGGCACTCAAATAGAATGAAAGAAAAATGTGCATTAATAAAGTTGATTTTGAATGACTGAGAAAATAAATAATGCGCTGAAAATGATAGAATAACTCTATTTATATTTTAATTAATTAATAAATTGAAATAAGATAAAATTAATAATATATAGTATGAATAATATATAAAATGATGCAATAACATATATAATATATACAATTATGGGTTGGGTGCATAGGGTGTGTGATTTTAATTGGAGGTGGAGGAAATTCATGGACTCTTCAGCTGTCCATGTTTTATGTTGAATGTTCACATGGTTTTTCTTTGTCACGCCCTTGTAACTGAATAGTTTCTCTAAAATCGTTAAGTTTTTGAATACACGAATAATTTATTACATGCATACCTAAATCTTGTTTCTTGTTTCGAGTGAATTACAACTTCTTATTACAAATTCAAGGCAGATCTCCATGAATAACAATAGTTGTAGCCAACCAGCTGTTTTATTATTCATTTCACTATCTATTTGAACCTCAAATGTTGACTTGGTTTGCACATTTTTTCTTAAATCTAATCCCGGGCATATTCATGCATGCATACAGACGTACTGTATGGTTGTAATTATAATAGAGTTGCAATTTGCTTTGTTTACCCCGTATGGTGGGATCCTTAATTGTGTCCAAGATAAAATGTTGCATAGCGTGCATGTTTCTCTTTCTGAGCGAGTTGCAACTTGTTTTATTTAAACACTAGATATTGTCTTCCATCATTAAATTTTCCCTTATTTATAGACTCCACCTTTCATATTGTTTTCTTAGCTAATGTGCTTCTGTTGTTGTAGACTGCTTTGGAACATTGCGCTCAAGTGATACTGTACACACTTCTGATGTCTGAGAGGTAAATTTTCTTTGGAGTTGAAGATAATACTGTGTACTAAATTGAGAAATGATTCACAACTATGTTACTGGTTATCCTAAGTAATTTTTCTTTATAGATACCTTCATAAGGATGTGGACTCTGGTCTTCTTTATTATCTTCATACAGATGAGACAAGGGTAAGCATTCTTTTTTGCATTTTGCAGTTTCTATGTTGCTGACCAAGTGTGTTTAGGGTATTAAAGTTCAACGATCTGACTTGGTTGGGTTAATTATGCGTCGTAATGAGCTTGCGTCAGATATTTTGAAGGCATCGACCACTCAAGTTCTGCCTCCAATGCTGAAGGTAATTTTTTGTACACTTATATTTTGACTTAATAAAGGACCACCAACTTGATTTTTTCCACTTATATGAACAGAATCCCACAGTGTGTAAAAACTGCCGTCATCTGAATTCATGTTCCATTTACCATAAGGTAATGTAATTTGTTATCTTTGTTATCATTTTTAATGGCTTTATTTACATTTTTTTAAAGCTGAAAACATCAAGTTTGCCCTTTGTAAAGGGGCCTATGATCCATAATGTAATGTCAGTTATTGTTCTCATTTAGTTGGCATAAACTACTTCTGATCCATTGAACTAAAAGCAAATGGGGTACTACTGTATATGAGAACTTTGCAGAGGTGAAGCTATGTGGACCTCATTTTGAGGTCATTATTCTTTTCCTTAGGAGCCTATGATCTAGCCATAGAACTTTCCTATTGACTATCTTAGAAAACTAGTATTGGAATCCATCACCTTAGAAATTCCAGCCACTTCTTATTTCTCTTGTGATGTCTCGCATTGATGATCTCAAAACCATCGTCGTTTGGTCGAGTGGTTAAGGATTATCATGTGTAGATTCAAGGAAAAGTTCCCAATAGGATCTCAAGCCGTAGGAAAACCTATTCAGGAATTGATCACACACACACACAAGATGCACAAAACTCTCTGAGTTGCGCAATGTCGGACTGAAATTGAGCTTAAATGATGGGTGAAAATGCAAACGTCTCCAGACAACCTCCAACAACAAAATGGACCGCGTCAACGCGTCCAGGACACCAATTTTAGCAAGAAAAGACACTCATATTGCCATAATTTCGCGCACGAGCAAATTGAACGAGAATCAATGAATTCATTAAAACTACCTCTGACGGCGAAACTGATCACGCCAATGTACTTAAAAAAGACATTCATTTTGCTATGATTAGACGCACGAATGGAAATATACAAATCAAATTTTTTATTTTTGAAATGTTATATATATATATATATATATATTATTAATTATAATAAAAAACCTATAATTCTAAACCCTATTTACTCGCTTTCCCACACACGTAACCCACTCGATTCCACGACGTTCGTCTCGCCCCCTCTCATGCCCTAAGATCTCGTGGCTCATCCACGCGGCGATCTCCCTCTCGCTCGACTCTTCTCCTTCCTCGCGTGGCCGCTCAACCTCTCGACTCTGCAATCGTGGGAGCTCGCCTAGCCGACCCTTCGTCTTCTCGAGGCTTTACTTTTTTCTCCTTTATGGTGACAATTCACTTCTGTTGTTTGATTCGACCACTTTAGAGTTGTTAGGTGGCTGTCCCCCTCACATCTCTGCCTATAAAAGGGCTTCTTAGGATGCTATTTTGGGTTATTGCATTTTTGATTGGACATCTCCTCAAGCTTCTCGTCACATCTTTTTTTTTTCTTTTTCTTTTGGAGAAGGCTCTGCTGGAATTCCTTCCTATATCTGGATAGCCTTTAATGTGTGGCTGGGAGTTTGAAGTGTTCGTTGGTTGCTGTTTCTTGAAGCTTTTAAAAGGAGGGTTTCTGTAGGAGGTGTATTTTTGAATCTGTCTTACAGTTTTGCTTTGAGTCTGCATTAAGAGGTGTTTCTCTTCCTTCCTCTAATCTGCACCATTTCGGATGACACCTAAAAATATTTCTTTTCTCTTCTAAACCATGTGAAAATAAGATTTAGACCCGTTTTAAGATCTAGTCATAGATACTTGATAGAATCAGTAAAAATGAAGCATAATATGTTTGCCTTCTCTTTTTCTGCTCGAAATACTTGGAGAAGTCATAGTTATGAGCTCTGAAATGATATTTACTCATCTAGAATTCATGCTGGAAATGAAATATTGATGCTTTTTATTATTGTTATTCCTTTTCAAGTAAATGCTAGACTTAGTTTCAATATTGGATAATATGTTGGTATTAGAGATCCGTTTATGCTTATTCGTTTTGTGTTATCTGTTACTATTTGAAACATATGTCGGGCATAATATTTTGAGACACAAAGCTTCATGTGATTTGACTTTTATGGCTGGAAGTGTTGTCTTTTTGTTTTCCTTATTTGGTGGGCTCGGTTTACTTGGGATGCTTTCTCTGTTTTTGGGCACTTTTGCTGGGTTTGGTTTGGCCTGAAGCTAGGCTCGGTTTAGTTGGAAATTATATTTTGTTTTGGCCCATTTGGTGGGCTCGGTTTTGGCTTCCTTTTGGATTAGATGTTAGCTAGAAAGTATATTTTGTTTTGACCTATTTGGTGGCTCGGTTTTGGCTTTCTTTTGGATTAGATGTTAGCTGGAAAGTATATTTTGTTTTGACTCATTTAATAGGCTTGGTTTTGGTTTCTTTTAGATTAAAAGCTAGATGGAAATTCTACTATGTTTTGCCCATTTGGTGGGCTCGATTTGGCCTGAGGTTTGAGCCCGGTTTTGCATGAGTTTTGGCTTGACATGCCCCTTTTGCTAAGTTCAGTTTATTTGTCATAATTCTTTCTGTTGCCCTATGCTGGTTTGGTTTGCCCATGTGACGGGCTCAGTTTGCCCATGTGCTGGACTTGGTTTGACTCTGTGCTAGTTTCGATTTTGGCTCTTTTGATTTGAGCTCATACTGGAAATGCTGATCTGTTTTTCCCATTTAGTGGGTGCGGTTTTGACTTAAACTGTATTCTTTACTTTAGCCTTTATATTGGGTTTAATTGGATTTGAGACAAGGAATTGATTTGGTTCAAAAGCTTATCTGCTGGCTCTCTTTTACTGGGTTTAGTTGGGCTGAAATTGTGTTTTATTTTTTTTCTTGTCCCACCTTGTTGGGCTCGGGTGTGCCTGTTGTGGTTCCCTATTGTGCCTGTTGCGGTTCCCTGTCTTGCCCCTTTGCTGGGCTCAGTTTGGTTGGAAGTTCTTCATATAACTTTGCTCTCGAGATTGTTATTGATAATCAAGTTTGTCGTACCAAAATTTATGATTTCAATAGATTTCAATATCTACTTCTATTTGAGAATGTTCAATTCACTATCATGTTTTGTTCAATAAAATGGCTTCAATCTAGATAGTTTATGGGAGTTTGTCCATTCACTCTCTTATGTATATCAAAGGGGCATAATAACAATGTTGTGGTGGTTTTCCCGTGTTGTCCTTACCTGAGAGCATTAACATGGTTCTCTTTTATTTTGTTTGGTTATTCCCTGCTTCCCCCTTTGTTGAGAAGCTGGTTTAGTGATTTTTGTCAGCTGCCTTTACTCGTGAGCATCCTAGCTGGTTTCCTTTTGTCTTGTTTGATCGTTCTCTGCTACCCCTGGCCGTGAGCCTTCTCCTGTAGCTCTTTTATGTTAAATATGTTTGATTTGGGGCTTGGCTTTCTTCTCGCTACCCCTGGCCGTGAGCCTTACTGTTGTGATTCCTTGGTTTGTGCCGTGGTTGGTTTGGGCTTAGCTTTCTTGTTTACTTTCCCTTGGCCGTGAGCTTTACCTTGTGATTTCGTTATATTGGAAATTGGAGGGTGGTGGTGTTGTGCTGCTCTCTTTATGGTCCCTGGCCGTGAGCTTGTTTTGGGGCTGGGCTGCTCTCTTTGTGGTTCCTGGCCGTGAGCTTGTTTTGGGGTTGGGCTGTTCTTTTTCTTGTCCCTACCCCTGGGATTATTTTGGGACTTGGCCGTCTCTCTTGACTGTCGCTCTCTGTTGCCCTTGGCCTTGAGCACTTATTTGGTTTTATTTGGATAATTTCGTGCTTATATGATATGGAAAGCTTTTGGTTGGAGTTGGAATTGGATGGCTTTAGTATCTCCAAGATTTTGGGAATTCCGAAAGTTGTCGTTAGTGGATTTGCTTAATTTGTGAAATTTGAAGTCTTCTACAGCTTTGTGTTGGAAAACATGAGATGATATAGATTGGATTTATAAAGAATTTAAAAGAAAACTTGTCAAATTATCATTCTTAAAGGAGCTTTAGAAGTTTGACATTAAAATTTGGATAACATAAATACCACACTTGGGTTCAGGCTTTGGTGTGTGAGTATATATAGGTGATGAAGTTGTTTATACAATTGTCACGTTGATTTGAGTCCGTTCCGACCGGTTCGAAACAAGATTTGGAAAGGATACGCCTTTTGGGTTGGTCCATCTATATATTTTGAGAAAATGATATTCTTTTTTTGGATTGATTCAATGACCTTGGGCCCTCATTTTTAGATCTTTTCGTTATAAGTTTTGAGGGTTGATCACCATTTGTCTTTTCAATTTTTTGGGAGGATCGGTTTCTCCTCTCTCTCATCCCCATTTTTCTTTTTTTTTCCTGCTTCTTGGTTCGGTTTTCGGTGCTTATGTTTGATACATAAGTGCCTATATATAGTCTTTTGCTATATATGAAACAATCAAGCAAGTTGCAAGTAGGTCGGTTTTGTTTTGTTAGGACGATGATTACAAAGATACACCGGTGGTAGAGCAGAATGATATTTCATCCAACGACATCAGGACTCAATCCATGTGGCTCGATGAACCGTAGGATGATAATGTCATTCATCGACACAGGACTAGCGGGGGCCCGTACTTTCTTAGGTTGTTGGCGGTCATACGCCCGACGACGTGATCTACTCGTGGATAACTATACTTTTCAAAACTGATAAAAACAAACATGATAAAAACATACTTTTTTTATAAAAATATTTCTGTGCTTATGTCTGAAATCCATGTGCATGCTAAAATATAAATTTTAAATGTGTTACAACTTGGTTGTCCACTTGTTGATTACCGATACCGGGCTAAGGAGTACTTTCCTAAATTATGTTTAGTAGGACACCCTTTTAGTTGAGTGACAGACTCTATACATCCGGGTGATCGATAGTAGCATTCGATGTCCTTCGAGTACAAATATATTATATTTGAGCCTAGCCCCGACCCGAGTGCTTGTGGTCCCCTCTTTTAGGATTTTTTGTATGTTTTATTAGAATTTTTGGGCAAAACACTCGTGGTCCCTTTTCCGGGATATTCCCGAGATTTTGATAATTTCCTTGGAATTGTAATTTGTAGATTTTCCCAAGTTTTCCGCCGTGAGTCATTTGTCAATTTTTGTTTAGTTTTCTGTCGTAGGTCATTTGTCGATTTTCTCGAGTTTTTCAGACAATGTTTTTTTTTTATACAGTGTATACTAACTCGCTTAAAAGA